TGTTCACAGAGGCCGGAAGAGGCTGTTGGGTCCCCTAGGTCCACAGCTACAGGCAGTTGTGGGCCACACAATTGTGGGTGTGGAATCTTAATTTTTATCCTCTGCAGGAACAGCAAAGTCTCTAATCTCTGAAGTGTCTCTCTAGTCCCTTGTTGTTAAATTGAGTACACATTCATGATCCTAAATGAAGGGAAAAGTCTATTGACAGCACTTAGCTTTGGGAGAAATGGGGTATTCAGTCGCTAACATTTTCTTTTATAATGTGCAACATCTTGGAACATTCAAAAGCAGCTTAAAATCATTTGACATATTCACAATCACGCCTTTTAGAGTCCAAGGTTTAGCTTGCATACCAAAAGATATATTTTTTGTATATAAAATGCATAGGATTTAGAAAGCTAAGCGGACTTGGGTTCAAATTCCCATTCTGCAACACTTAACCAGCTAAATGGCTTGGAACCAGTTAACTACTTTGTGCTTTAAAGTCCTTTAAAGTCCTTCTGAAATGGAAATAGTGCACTGTAAATCCTATTGTTTGTGGATTCCATACTTTTGAATTTGATCTGCATGCTAAATTTTTGTAATCCCCAAGTCAGTACTTTGGAGACATGTGGGACGCCGTAGCTTGAGATGCAGGTGAACACGCTCCCAGCTGAGATCACGCGTGTGATTCTTTGCCTGCTCCACTCAGCTGCACACTGGCAACAAGGGGTCCCCTGCGTAGGCAGAACGTGCTTCTCGCGTGTATTTGTGTTTGGTGAGTCCCTGCTTAAAGTAGCCCCCAAGTAAAACGCTGCCATGCTGTCTACCCTGCAGAAAAACAATTTTCTAGAGAAAACAGTTGGAGGAGGAACTTTATTCCGGGCTAAATTTTCACGTTCCAATGTTAAAGAATGGTACATAGTGGAAGGACTGTGGTGATTGTAAGTACACACAGAACAAGAGGCATTCATCAGTTTATAAAAATGTGGGACCCCAAGTCTCACGGGAGCCCAGCATGCATTTCTAGACCAAACACTGAGTCTCCCCACACTCAGTGTTTGCAGCTTCTTTCTCGAGCATGACTACTGCAAGTCAGGAGCATCTAACGCACACACATACCCCTACCACCTTGCTGAAGAAAGAACGGCACACACAGTAAAACACAGATAGTAGCTGGAATCCCTGATAATTGTCAGGGTCTTCCATTGAAACAATACCAGCATCCTTGGACTTAGAATTAGAGAAACAGGATGTCAGGACTGGCCCAGCAGGTATCAAGCCTGATGATCTGAGTTTGATTCCTAGGCCCCCATGTGGTAGAAGAGAACCAGCTCCTGCAAGTTGTCCTCTGACCTCCTCATGTATGTGTGCGCGTGCACACGTGAGGCACACACACACTAAATTAAAATGATTTTAAAAATTTGGGCCATTTTAAAAAGAAAAATGCCAGTGTTTTGTCTTTTTCTTCTTCTTCCTGCAATTTCATCAGAAACCATTAGTATGTAGTTTTGTCTCCTTAAGAAATGCATTTCTTTTAATGTTCTCTGCTTGGGCCCTGTGCTCATTAGTATTTTATTATTTAAATAGCGGGAAGGTAATGTTTTCAGATTATTAGACAACTTTTATGCATTGGATTATAACAATGCATTCTGCTCCTGGGATGAATATTAGATTACAAAGCATCCATAGATTTCATAAAGTAATGTTGCTGTGATGACTTTCCACTAATGAAAATGAATGGGAAGAGGGTGTTTGGAAAAGATTTACAGGTGTTAAGACTAAAACAGCACATGAGCAAGTACCTTTTGTTCATAGTCTACTTATCTGTACCCAAGGAAATAACAATAAACATTTCAATATTTTTTGTATTTCCTTAATGATACTCTAGTTTTCCTTTCAACATTTGATATTTCATTGTTATTTAGTACCATAGATGAAAGAATTAAAACTCTAGCTGAGCATGATCTCCTACCTTACTACAAATTTTGCATTTCATTTGACTATCACAGCCAAACCACTAATACTTCTAGAATATTTCAACAGCAATTTAAAAAAAAAAAATGAAGGTAAATTGGTCTAGGATTGTGTTGTAGAAATAAGTATGCATTCAAACATTTTTTTACTAAAAAAGTCCAATTATTTTGCTTTTAGTGATTCTGAACTAAATGTGAAATGTAATGGAAAAAATTTTCTTTAAATTACCTCTGTCAGTCAGGTCTAACCCATTCTTCTGAAGGTTTTCAATTAGATTGGAAGAGAGGGAAGAGGTGAGTCGTGGCTCTGCTCGAGTCCGACTGTATCCTTGACCCGAGTTCCATAACCGGCTTTGTAACAGAAATGCAAATTCTCCTGGGTTCCGTAAACTGCTAAGCAGGAGTAGGGACTGTCATTGGCTGTCATGTGTGCCTTGGACGCAGCCTATCATGCTGACATCCTTCTTGTCTTTCACACATGAGGAAGACCTCAGATGCACCTGTGAAGTAGTTTACTAATGCATTAGTTGTTGACAGGTAGATAGAGCTATGAAATCACATTCATTTTCACTCACTTAAAGCCTTCCAGTTGAAGATTAGTTTTGTAACAAAAACTTAAAGACATGTTTTGTTTATGTGAGCATATGGGTAGCTTCTGCTTTCCTTTTTTATCAGTGATCTTGGCAAATCAGAACTCAGACTAAGTTAGGTTTTGTTTTTGTTTTTCTGTTAAAGATGTCATGAGCTTCAGTTTTTGGCCCTTACTGTACATTTGCAGGTTGACTCATAGATGTTTTATCATTATTCTAGTTTGGGATAATATGTAAGAAAGGTTAAGAATGGGTACCTCAAAGTCTTGACTAGGCTGAAGTGAGCTGTCACTCTTGGAAAGTATGAACTGTCTTTCATGTCATTTTTATTCTGTCAACATGGCTTTTCTTTTCTCATCCTCACAAGATCCTGTTTATTTCAAGCACAGCATGGGACAGTTGGGGTGGCGGTAGCAGATTGACAACTTGGTTCTGGGTCACTTCTGCTCAGACAGGAGCCTTTCATGGCTCTGCAGAGTTACAGACCAAGGTGTCACCCTTCATCGGAGTCTAATCACTGACAATTTTTACCTATTAGGATGTGAAGATATTTTGGGCATATCTGTCTAATTCTCGTATATGTTTATATAGATAAAAATTTCTTCTGGATAAGTTTTTGATAGCAGTGGTTGAGGCTAACATGTTTAAAATATCTAGGAATTTGAACAGTAACTCTGGTTTGATTTTTTTTTTTTTCTTTTACTTTCCCGTTGTTTTTGTCTGACAAAACTGAGGTCATTAAGTGAAATAATCTCAAAGACAAATAGAAAATTGTCTGGAGATTTTTTTTTATCGCGAAGATAGTTTATTATGACATCTATTTTGAGGTGCTTTCTTTGTTTTTTAGTTTGTTTGTTTTTGAAACAGGCTTTTTTTTTTTTTTTTTGTGCAACAGCCCTGGCTGTCATCGACTCAGTTTTTAGACCAGGTTGGCCTAGAACTCACAGAGTTCCACCTGCCTCTGCTTCCCCAATACTGGGATCAAAGGTGTGTATCACCTTGCCTAGTTTAATATCTTTAATCAGAACAAAATTATATTATCTCCTCCCTTTTCTCCCTCTGGCCCCTCATAGTCACTCTCCTCCAGACCTGTTCAATGTCCCCCACTCTCAAGTTGATAATCTCATTTTTTCGGTTATTAAATGCACATCTGTATGTGCATGCACAAGGAGATAGAAATAGTCCCTGCTGAGTCAGTTTCTGTTGTTTGTGTGTATGTGGTTTCAAGGCTGACCACGTCAGTCAGTCCATAAGGAGGCTCATCCCTAGGAGACACTGACTCTCCTCCCAGCAGGCTGTAGTCACCTATATTTATTTATTTAGGATAGGACCTCTTTTTTTCCTCATTAACATGTCTATTATAGTACTATTGTTCCTGCCCTATTTCTAGGAGAGGATGTTTCCCAGCATACTTTGTGGTATTCTGCCTCTTAGAACGTCTCTACCTCTTCTTCTGTGATATTCCCCGAGTTAACAAATGCAAGCGCATTGGTGGTGCCTGTCTGCTAATGTCCCTGCTCAGGGGTTTCCTCCTCACTAGACAGCAGTAGCTCAATCTTTTTAAGCTTAAACTGTAAGCACAATTGTTCAATCTATTGGAAGAATTCTTTCTCCGGGGAATATCAAGCAAACTTCTCCACAGGAGTGTTGTCAGGTCCCAGGCATGTCATGGGCTCTGCTCAGTGTGTATTTATACAAGCCCTGCTGAGCCCCTGTCGTGTGGGTACCTGAGAGAGGTGCTGTAGACGAAAGTACTTTTCTAACTTTGGATCATTGGAGTCTAACAGGAGACCATATATATATATATAGCTGCCAAAATAAGCAGATCTTTATTAAATGCTTAGTTCACTGAGGGCTGAACTTACTCACTGCCTAAAGGATTTTTTTTTTTTTTTTTTTTTTTTTTTTTTGCATATGTTTTAAGTCCAGAAAGCTAGCTTTACCATATCTTCTTTCTCTTTTCAGAGTGGTGTGAATGTGCAGGGGCGAGTGTTCACGGGTGTGGTGTCACTCTGTGTGTATCGGTGGTGCGCTGACCTGTGTATTCACATGTTGGTACCAGAGGCTGATTTGGGGTCTCCTCTTGTCATCTTCTTCCGAAGTTTTGGAGACAAGGTTTCTCCTGGAACCCGGAGCTTATCATTTTGGCTAGACCAACTGGCCACTGACCTCTGGGGGATCTGCTTGGTCTCCAGAACCCTAGCACAGAGCATGGCACATACTGCCACACCCATTGGGGACACAAACCCACTTCCTTATGCCTACATGGCACGCTGTTCACCTGCTGAGCTGTCTCTCCCGCCCTGGCTTTATTGTATTTCCTTTTGGTATAATTGGGGTTTTAAGATTTCAGAATACTTAGGGCATGTAGGGCAACCATAAAGAAGAGACTACTAAGGCAGATGTCACATATGCTCACATGCTATTTATTTGATTAATCCTCCTTTCTCGTCAGGGGTGAAAGCCTGTCTGCAGAGCAAAGTACGTGAACCAGAAGAAAAGTACGAAGTTTCTGGAGGTCCACAGAGGAGCAGGCTCAACAGAGAGCAGCTGGTATTTTTCTTTTATATACTACTTGCCTCCTCTTATGGCTTCACATCATTATCACCATCGGGAAAACTTTGCCCTTTCATCCAGTTCAGGTGACTGATTAAAATTTTAATTGTGCTTATTTCAAGCACTTGATTCTGAAAGATGATCAGGGTATGCAGTAAAATCCAGAAGGTAATAATTTCACACTGTTAATGGATTTTTGGCATCTCGAACATTCCCATAAAGCCTTCAGAATCTGGGGTAAATCTCAGATACAGGAAGTAGCTTGAAAGAAGACTTACAGCTGTTGCTGGGATTTAGTTACCATATGTCTTTATTGCCACATATTGCAGTTTTAATGGACAATATTCCATCATTCTTTTGATATATATAAGTATAGTACAAATGACAGAAGACATTTTCTAATTGGATGGCTACCCATGACTTCATTGTCTGTTGCATACTGGCAATGCATCTCTGGAATGTATCTCTGGAACCCTGAGGCCACACTCCTACCATGGCTGCCAGAGAGACCTTAGGTAGCACAGAGGGACCTGTATTTAGAGGAACAGAACCAAACTGTCTGGGAAAAAAAATGCTACTCTTTGGTTTAAATCCAGCCTGGTGTCTCTGATGCTTACTTTAGATGTCTTAGAATTTAAGCAATTTAAATCCTACCCATGTGCACAAGCATCCTAATGGAGAGGGAATTTGATGAAGAGGTTTTTGTTTTGTTTTGTTTTCTCTATTTTTTAGACAGGGTCTCACAACAAAGTACAGCCTGCTCTTGAACTTGTGGCATTCTTTTCTACCTAGCCTTAGAGCTATTATTATAATTGTATACTACTAATGCCTACTACTAATATAGATTGTTTTGTTTTGTTTTTCACTACAAAACACATCTGAAATTTTAGGAGAGTAAAAAAGAATTAGGCGGTGGCTGAATTTTAGATGGAAAAATTATAAATAAGAAACACTTTTCTAAGTATGCTTCCTGATCCCATTAATTTGGTTGAGATAAAGTTTATGTCAGCACCTCGTTATGAAGCTTCTTAATGACTACTGAGTTTATGTCCTTCATTCATAGTGTTTAGAATAGTTTGATCTACTTGTAACAACTGTTTTCTTGCTGTTTCAGTTGCCGAAGCTGTTTGATGGATGCTACTTCTTTCTGGCGGGAAACTTCAAACATCATCCAAAGGACACCCTCCTTAAGCTCATTTCTGCGGCAGGAGGCAAGGTCCTTAGTAGAAAGCCCAAGCCAGACAGTGACGTGACCCAGACCATCAACACAGTTGCATACCATGCCAGACCTGATTCTGACCAGCGCTTCTGTACACAGTACATCGTCTATGAGGATCTGTTCAATTGTCGTCCAGAAAGGGTTCGCCAGGGTAAAGTCTGGATGGCTCCTTCCACCTGGCTTATTAGCTGTGTAATGGCCTTTGAGTTGCTTCCCCTTGACAGCTGAATGACATACAGGGTGAACATTTTAAGTTGAACATAAATGCTTTGTGAGAACACAGCCACTGTGATATGTTTGATCATTTGCTTTTTATGGATAGGCAGAACTGTTCATATTTCCTCCTTTGAATTACAAAATAAAACAATTGATGCTAGCTTAGGAATTCATTTAGATGCCTAAACTGCTTTTAATATTTTTTCTTTCTTACTCTCTTGAGGGTGGAGCTATAACTCAGTTGTTGAGTCTTTATGAACCATGCATGAGGCACAGGGTTCCACACTGGGAACTGCAAAGAAGTTTTCATTTTACAAGTGGCCTGTGGGTTTTGATTAATCATGTCTTTCAGTTTTATCAGCATCTATCAAAGATTAGTAAGTGAGATGGCATGAGAACTACTTGTTAAGTCTACATGTGGTCTGTCTTTAATTTAGCATCCTTTAGTAAACAATATCATCTGATGATTTATTCTGCCTCTGTTATAATGATAATATAGCATTTATATAAATGTACCACTATAGGTGAAAAGTTGTATCTGAAATTATCTTTTTCTTACATTGTGTTTTAGTTTCTTGTGTTTCCTTGGCTTTCCTTTGTGTTTATTCATTTGTGACAAAATCTTGTGTACATCACGAAATCTTGATTTGAACCACTGGGTGTTAGTGGAAAAATCAGCAGTATGCTTGTGTGCATGCTTTTATTGTGCTCATTTGCTGTCTGCCTACTGTGCATTTGTGCATACCTCTATTTTCTGTAACTTAGTTTAGTGTCACTGTTTCTTAGAAGGCCTTACCAGTTTAGAAAACTGCCAAAATGTCAACTCATTAGACTAGAAGCAATCTGTTTGTGGTAAATCTCTCTGGGCATTTCTAAAATAAGTCTCTGTGAGAATTTAATCCCTTCCCCATTCTCTTCTTCAAGACCCGCTTACTAGGGAAGGTTGACATTCTGCCAATCATTTGAAAATAGACCCTGCGTATACTTTCCCTTGACATACTATTGTTTCATGTCAACAGGTATATCATGTGAACAGAATGCTTCCCTCCTGCTGGCTTCCCAGGGTCAACAGTTCTGAAAGTCTAAGCTCTTCCTCATGTTTGACTCACAGTTCAGGGTAATGCCTAGATTAAGTCATTTACAATCTGGGCATTTGGGTTGTAGGGTTTGTTTGCTTTTAATTCCCACCCTGAGTTACTTTCTGGTGCCTCTGTTGTCTCATTCCTGATCAAATGTGTATCTCTTCTTTGCTGTGAATTCCTGTTTCTAAAAATGCCTTCGGGGTTCCTGTTCACGTTTTATTTTCTTACCTCACCCTCTTTCTCACCCCCCTCCTTCCTACTAGTATTACTATTTTTGAGTGCTCTCAATGCTGAGTTTTTTAAAAAAAACTGTTTGAAACAGAAATACATTCTCAGAATAATGCACAAAAACACAGGTTGAGCTACACCGAAACTCCCCTCCCTTCCCCTTCCTCCTCTTTTCTTCTCTGAATGCCAGGGAGAACATGGTGGAAGGTAACAATGCACAACTCTGAAGACAAAGGTTTGGTCCAGAGAACTTAATGTCATCTATCACGTTACATGAACAGCATCACTGAGTAGGATTAAGATGTGGAGATGTCACATTACCATAGGCGGCTCTTCAGTGCTGGGGGTGAGAGTGTGGCTGCTTCAGGGAGGTAAGGACCGAGCCCAAGTGGGAGACATCTTTGGCTTTGTCACGCGTGGGTTAAAGTCACACGGCTGAGCCACCGACTCCCACTCAGAGCCTAGGGATGACTCCTTAGTGTCCTTACAAAGGCTTGTTGCCTCTTGTTTCCTGTAGCTACTCACCTGTCCCACATACCGCTTTTCTAGTTCCTCCATTGCTCTCTTTCCACTCTGCTTCTTGCTTCCAAGAATTGATGTCAAGGGCTTCCAAACTCTTCTCTCCCTTTGTGGATGCTCTCACTCTGGTTGCTGTAGATTCACCTCTCAAACAGCTGCATAACTGGCACCATTGCCCTCGAGGTAGTGTTTGCTGTCCGTCGCTCCATCAGCACTGTCAGGGCTTGGTTTATGTTCAGCTTTAACACTTACAGTTGTTAGAAATGCTTCTGTAGAAATGCTTGTAATTGTAATTTTCCCTAAATGGATTTAAACTTATAAATCATTAAAATTACTTGTGCTTGTATTTGTGACTTGTGTAAAAATGGCTTATTTCCATATTGAAGAATGAGACTGAAGAAGTCTTCCAGCTGTTGTGGTCGTGTGGCTCTGTAAAGCACGAGGTGCCTGTGTTAGTTACTTCCTGACAATTTATGAGAGATTTATTATGGCTCTCAGTTCCGAGTACAGTCCATCCTGGTGAGGAAATCTGAGGGACAAGAGCTTTAACCATCTGCCACATCCATTGGCAGGAAGCAGAAACAGTTGAATGCTGGTGCTCACCTCCCACACACCTCCCCCTCCCTCTACCCCTCTTCCCCTCTCCATTTCCAGTTGAGACCCTCAACCCACGAAATGATGTCAGACCACCTATACTCAAGAAAGGTCTTCTCACTACAATTGCCCAAATGTAGATATGCCTAGAGGCTTTTCTACTGGAGGACTCTGATCCTGTCAGTCTGATAGTGTTAACCATCACAGGTAGCTTTTGGTTTTGAGAAATTCATTTGAATGGTGATGTGAAAGAGTTAAAGTCACTGGGTTATCAAGGATTCATGACTGAGGTGCAGCCCGCAAGGCCGGGTCCTATACAGTCTGGCTGGTTCTACTGTTTGTCTTCTAGTTTGTCTCCCTGAGGTCTCAGTTGCAGAGTTGGAGATGTGCTGCACTCTTTTTGAATCTCAAGTGTTCTGAGCACATAGCTACTTTCAGGCCACCTCTCAGGACCCGTGTGAGTTCAGAGCTCAGAGATGTCTCTAAAAGCAGCTTAGGAAAAAGTAGCTTTGGCAGCATAGTTTGTCTCAGACTGGAATAGATATGGCTATTCTTTCCTTCCCAGTTTGACTGCTGGCTGCCCTGTGCTTTACTGGAGTGAGTGTTATAAGCATTGTTTATCAATCTGCGTAGGACTCTGTGGGGATGGACCTTAGGAAGGCCTGGCTTACCTACCATGGGCATGGTGCCACAAACAAAGCCATCTCAGACTGAGCCCCCAAGTACCCTTGAATAACTTCATACATCCGTTATGAAAGGAAATCTAAGAAGAGCTTGTTTCTAACTTTAGTTCATTCTTTGGGAGACACTTTGCAGGGGGCGGGTACTCATTTCCCTGCTGGCTAAAATATTGTGACCTAGAAGATCTGCTGTGAGTCGAGTCTGAAAGTCTTTTCTGGAGTTGAACTTACCTGTGGGTTTCTTAGAAACTGTATGTAAGTGTTAGATAATTACTATAGAAATTTTGAGAAGAAAAATAAAAAAGAGGGGATGGGGTAGAGAGATGGCTTGTGGGTTAAGATCCCTGGCTACTCTTGCAGAGGGTCCAGGAACAATTCCCAGAGCCCACATGGAGGCTTAGAACTGTCTGTAACTGCAGTTCCGCAGGATCTCACACCTTCTGGCCTCCACCGACATTGGTACACAGTGTACTCAGGCGGTACACAGACATATATGTAGGCAAATGTTTATAAAAATAAATAAAATCTTAAATTTAGGGAAAAATAAATTGTCCCACATCTAGGATTCATAAACTAAATGTCGTGTTACTTTTTACAGCACTAAAAATAGCCTGACACTGTCGTGAGAGCCACATACATGGCCCCCTCACCACAGTCCTGGCCACTCCACTATTCTTTTGTTGGCATTTGGAAATAAAGAGTTAACCCTTTCCTTGGGAACAGCAACTGCCACTCCTGCTTTTTTTCTCTTCTTTACACTTGCCTCTGTTCTGCCCTTATGATCCCTGGGGATTTGTTCCAAGAAACCCCTCAGAAACTGACATCTACAGATGGACAAGTGCATCCTACATAATGATGTAATGTCAGCAGAGAGCCTGCGTGTGCTCTCTGTGCTTTACATTGTCTTTAGGCTAGCCATCATACCAATATAATGCAAGCACCCTGAAACTACTGTTTAGAGAGTAATGACAGGAGGGGAGAAAAACACATGAATAGAACAGATGGAATGTTTTTTGTTTTTTTGTTTTTTTTTTCCTAAGTATTTTGGATCTGTTGATGCAGAAGTCACAAATATGGAAAACTGACAGCAGCCTTTAGAACTAGGGGGTTAACCTTGTATGCAGATTGCTTTCCTACATTATTGCATATATAATTTCGGGTGGTTACCACCCCCTACCAATAGGCTCCATCATTATTTAATCTGGTCTCTTGTCTCTCTCGACTGTTTCTTTAAATCAGTTAAAAATATTTCAGTCAGTTTTTATGGAGAAAGTGTTTTCAGTTTGTCAGAGGAAGTCAGCATCTTTACAGAACATACCACCCGTCCTTCACGTTTAAATTAGGTGCTGAAGTTAGGCCTAAAACATCAAAATTAGAAAATGAGCCTGATCGCTATGGTACAAGTTGATTAGATTTGGGGTCTAAGGTTCAGGACGTTACAGTTCTTGCAGGGTACAGGTGTGCGGCTGAGTTCAGCCTTTTGGTAATAATTTGAGATGACCTGGTTCATGTGGAGTTTGGGTTGGATGCTCGTGTGGGAACACCAGAGGCTTGCCCAAAGCCCTGCCACTCAGTAGGTCCAGAGTCTGCACAGCTCTCTATTAAAATGCATGTCATAGGAGTCTGGGCTGACACAGACTCCTGGGGACTTAATGGACTGGGCTGGGGCAGTGAGAAGCAGAAATGGCATTCTACATTTGCTGTAACCACCTCTGCTTCAGCAAGCGTTAAATCACCATGCTTCAGTTTGGAGACAAAACAGATCTTAAAATCTCTCCACTCTTAGTATACTTCTGCAGCAAATTGGTCGAATTGATTTATTAGCTGTAACTTAACCTTATCCAAACCAGTGGTTGTCAACCTTCCTAATGCTACATTATAACCCTTTAATATAGTTCCTTATCATCTGGTGATCCCCCAACCATAAAATTATTTTCATTGCTACTTCATAACTAATTTTGCTGCTGCTGTGAATTGGTAATGTAAATATCTGATACGCAACCCCAGTGAAATGATCATTTGACCCCCAAGAAGGGTCGCAGCCCACAGGCTGAGGAGCACTGGTCAAAGCTAACCCGTGTTAAAAATAAAACAGTACAACTGAAATCGTTTAGCTGAATATGGTCAGCATACAGCATATACATCTATAAAAATTTTAAATGAGTTCATTAAAAATATAAGGTATATATGACATCGATATGTTTATTGCTTTCTTCACTTGAAATAGATAGAAACAATTAAGAAAAAAAAAAGACAGCCAGTCGTGGCGAATGCCTTTAATGCCAGCACTAAGGATACAGAAGTAGGTGGATCTCTTGAGCTCTAGAGGCTAGCCAGTTTCACATTGTGAACCCCAAGCCAGATGGAGTTGCATAGTGAGACCCTGTCTCAAAAGCAGAAAACAAGCAACAACAAAACGGCCAGGGAGATGGCTCATTGGGTGAAGCACTTGTCGCGCAAGCCAGAGAACATGAGTCTTGTTCCCTAGAATCTACATGATGGGAGGAGAGAGCCCACTCCCCACCAGATTTGCATCATGGTAAGCGTGTGCACACGGAGTAAATAAACAAAACCACAGCAGTTGAAAGAGCATGGCTCCAGTCCCTTCTAAGTGGTTCGCTCAGTTTAAAGTGGGTCTGAACTAGCGGCTAGTGTCTCTTCTTGGGGTAGCAGGGTAATGTGTATGCACGTGTGCATCTACATCCTCGAAAGTTTTCCAAAAGAGCAGGAAGAAACGTGGCTTTACAAATGAGTTTACAAAACTCCCCAGATGTCTCCTGGGCCTTACTTTCCACAGTTGCAGTCTGCCACTTTAACACCGTTTTGTTTTTGGAATTAACCTCTAACATGGTACACAATTTAGAAGTTGCATTTTTCATTCAAGCACCTTTTTGCAATGCAAAACTTTATATGTGCCTGTGTGTGTGTGTGTGTGTGTGTGTGTGTGTGTGTGTGTGCGCGCGCGCACGCGCGCCTGCCCGTGCCCTTCTCTCAGCATAACCAAATACTGTGTACCTGAATCCCCAGGACACACATTTCTGAAACAAAGCTCTGGAATATGCAGTGGAATATAATGCTGTGCTTTCAAGTCATGGCCACTGTTGTCCTCGGGGCAGCATCTCTCTCCTCCACCTGACATCCTGAACCTGGTGGCGAATTCAGATTGTTTCTCTAGCCGCGGAAGTTCCGATTAACATGTGGTCTTTAATTTCTATTGAAAGAATGAGTTCTAGGAAGTGATGTGCAGAATTGTTTCTTTTGCCCTTTGCCCACGTATGACAGAAAGCATGACGGGCAGGTAATTGACTTCCAGTAAGTACTCTTATTTAGCTTGACGCAGAGATTTGTGTGCGGTGATACATATGCATTTTATCCTTTCCCTTAAAAATACAGACCTGGGTTTCACATTTTAAAAGGAAATCGAATAAGAATCTGACACCGATTTGATGAACAATCCATGCATTAATTCATCAAATATTTATGGAGCACCCACTGGGTACCAGGGATTAAGTAGGTTATGGCCTACCCAGGTCTCAGGGTACCTTGTGTTCTAGTAAAGAGCCGAAGGACCCCACATCACTGCACAGATTTTGGTCCTGGCAAGACAGCCCCTCGTCCTATTGAGGAGGAACAACACCTTAAAAACACAGATCCATTGTGGTCTTAGGACAATGTTAAATGACCTGCCTTGCCAACCTTGCCTTAACTGGTAAAAGAACTAACCAGTGATTGCTCTGGACTTTATCAGGTCCTTTTTGGAAAAGAACCAAGATGCACTTTAGAAACGAATGAATGGTCACTGTGGAAGCTTTTGGAGGCCATGTCCATAAGTCGTCTACTTAGAGAAAAATAGTGGGTTTATTTTTTTAATTCTTGAAATGATACTTTAGTGTCTTATAAAAGAGGAATTCAAGTCAGGAACAAGAAATGCTATTTACTGAAACCGTGAGTTGAAAATGTTTTTGCTACCCATGTTTAATTTGCTAAGTTAATGAATTTAATCTGAATATAATTTAAACAGTGAGATCTATTTAGGTTCGCTGGATCTAGCTTTTAAAGCTGCATCTTTTAA